GGTATGTAAAAGACAAATTTCACTTGTTCTCGCAACTTGTCCGTGTTGTCAAGACGATCTAAATGAATAGATGTTGTCCTGATTTGTATACCGTATTAGTGTCATACTGTCGACGTGGTACATTCTCATGTGTTGCGTCTGGATCGTAGTCAGCTCGCAGGGAGTCTTGGCATTCTTGGAACGAAATCTGTTATCATTCCTTCCTATCTTGGTGCATCTACCTATTCTATATCCTCGTAATTCACGGCCTATCTATCACAACTTTTATTTTGTTTTATATTCGACTAACACTTTTGTAGACAAAATAGAGACCATACCATCTTGTTCTTCATATTTACAATTTAGTTTGAACTCATTTCATAATCATTTTTCAGTTTGGTTCTCCGACACTTGAACGCTTTCTTCGATTGAGTCAAGGCATTGTGAGGAGCTGAGCAAGCTAATCGTAATCAGGCCTAAAAGCTCTGTATCCACATGCTTATATCGGTCCTTCTCAAAGAGCAGGCGAAGGACATAAATCACTTTAAAGTGGTACTCGGATTGCGGGACACTTTTATTATTGTCTTCCCCAAAGGGTGCCCTTGAGACGAGTGTTTTTTTCAAATACCGATTACTCGTCCACCTGCCTTGCATTCTTCACCTTTCTGCCAGGCATAGGCTGGGGCACTTTTTAGAGTGTACCGTCGAACTGTTAATGGTGACCCGGCTTTCGCCGTCCTAGGCACGTCCGTCTCAGAGAATGACGGCTCTGCTTTTGGGTGGACGCTCAACCGGATTCAGGGTGACGAGTCAGGCACGGGTTTTGGACTGACATGACCACATGACTGGCCATAAAGGCAACTTGGAACGTCAGTGAAGTGACTGAATTAGGCTTCCACTCATTCCATGTGCTCACCTTGCCTGTCAATTTTGCCTCCAGTAGTGCGAATGACCTCGATCTCTGCTGAAGTGATTGAGCCTGCTGTATCTCGTGTCTTTCCATAGCCTGAAAGCCATAGACAACCATCGCCAAGGGCAACCACGAAGTGTTTGAGATGTCAAACATTTTGACTATTTACAAAGCATTAAAAGAAGCTATAGTTTCTGTAAATTGTTTTGGGAATCGTAAATTTCGCCTCATTTTTTCTTTATATCTCGCAATAATGTCAGTCTGATCAATCGATGTGTATT